TTTAAATTCTTGAACGATAAAGTGCAGTGGACTATATAGAGTTAATTGGCATTTCTCGATATATTCCGGTTTATTTGAATTGATACTCAGACAGTCCTCAGACAGTTGTTAACGCTCTCTACATGCCGGGTTCTTGTATTAAAATTGGCTTGGATTGGCTATTCCTACGGTGGAACCCGGTTGAAATTCAGAATCACGTAATGAATTACTGCCCCTATCTTCGAAAACTTGTAAATGCTTTACGGGTTAACGTATAAGATAAGATGTTATTGTATCGATACGCCCATTAAGAGCAACATGCTAGATCCTTAAAGGACAATATTGGTGCCAGTCATTATCACATATGTGATAGAACTGGTTAAACACTTCCAAATATTATTTTATCACAGAGATCATTGCTACGATAGATGAATAATCAATGTTTCAATAATAGGAAGTGGCGAACGCAGGTGAAGTGGCTGAAGTGACAGGTGATAACAGATACATGGGCGAATTTCTGCGCACTAAAAATTCCTTCGAAGACCAAAAGTTGTTATATGAGACTGTAAGAGTATATCTGACAATTCAAAAAAGTAATTGAATGTCATTAGATAAGAGAACACGAGAAAAATAGAAACAGTCCGTACATTCACGGGTGTTTATTCATTCGATACATGGTAATGCACGGACTTTTTCTGGTTTTCTTTCATGTTCTCTTATCTAGTGACAGTCAATTTATGAATTGTCAGATATCCTTTCACAGTCCAATACAACAACTTTTGGTCTTCGAAGGAATTATTAGTGAGCAGAAATTCGCCCATGTATCTGTTATCTCCCGTCACTTCAGTCAGTTATATAAAGGGATAACTCGTGTTTTCCTTTTGCGTTCGTCACGTCCTATTGTTGAAACGTTGATTACTCATCTATCGTAGCAATGATCTCTGAGATAAAATAATATTTGGAACGTGTTTAACCAGTTCTATCACATATGTGATAATGACTGACATCAATATTGTCCTTTAAAAGGCAGACATTTAATTCAATCATTTTGTGTTTCCCCCTTTAATTCCATACTTCTTTTTAATGTCATTTGTGTACTTGTTTCTTGGAATAATAAATAAATACAATTTATTAAAACAAAATGGAAACATTACAAAAGAACAAAAACGTTTCATGTGGTAAAAGAGAAATACACAAAAACAATATACACCATTTCAAATAAACTATCTTCTTTAATCTATTTTATATTTTGGAGAATAAAACTGCTTAAACATACATTATGCAAGAGTTAAATCTTTCTTTGGGCCTGAAATGTTTTCTAAATTATTAATAAGACATTAATTAACTTATTCAAAGCCATAATCAACCTTCGATGGCATCGGATTTCTCTGATATTAAATAGATTAGAACAGTTCAGCCATATTTTGATTTAAGCTAAAAAAAAAATGGAGGAGAGACGTAGCTTCGAACAACTAGTACGGTGGCTGAAATTATTGCACACGTCTTGTCAAATCTTCAAAGGCTAATATTGTCGCTCGCAATAGAGTAATTTGAATAAAATTTACAAATTATTAATTTTACATTATCTATTTTCGAACTATTATAGCAAGAATGGCTAACTCTTTATCTAAATATTACATAATGTATCTTTAATTTTGTGTTAAAATCCCTTAAAATCCTCTACCTTAGGGCCGAGCAACTAACTCAACATACGTGATACGTTTTGAAACAACTTAAACCCGTCAGTCTTAATCTGGAGATGGAGATCAATGTCCCAAACTGTATTATACGGTGTCTGGATATAACCAGGCTTTTATTTTATAAAAATTAATAACGAGTAGGTGAACTTTACCTTTCGTTATCAAGTACAGCACGTGGGTCATGCACTGTACAGACTCCTAAAAGAACAGTAATAGATTACCAGGCTACCCAATTAAAAAATATGACCTGTTATAGTAAAAATGTTACGTGTCCGGATAAGCGGTTTTTGGCGTAAACGTCCAAAACGACTCCATATCTTGAGCTGAAATTTTGAGACAAGGTAAATACGCCATTCCTCTATATTATGGCGTTTAAATTTCATACATACACCGACTTTTATTTCTGAGACTGTGTTAAAATCGGGATGGTCCCTTTAAATAATGTGCCTGTGGTGTAATGTATGAGATTATCTTTTCAAGCTTGCTGGGTTTGTTTGCTAGACCTAAGCAGGAGCGCTAACGATATTCAGAGTTGGCCAACGGCAAACTGGAAAGGAACGAGCAGAAGCGCAACGACTTATCACAAAGTTACCATCCCTGTCACATTGTAAATGCTCTATAGCTCACAAGTATATGCGTAGGTACAGACCGATAATGATTGTCCGAATATTGTTTTAACCTCTACTTGTTCGATCCCTGGATTGGCCAAAAAAAGTTCATCCAGATTTTCCGGCGTGGTTCCCCCTTGTCAGTGATGCAGGACGGAGGGCCTGACAAGGACAGCTGTCTAGTCGTTCGGATGGGACGAAAAACCGAGGTCCCGTGTACACACTGGCATGCACGTAAAAGATCCCTTGACAGTTGGAATTCGATATAAGAGTAGGCCGTAGTGCCGCTGTTCGTGCAAAATGTCCGTCATAGTACAGAACAGTAGGACGTTAAACCTCATTTCATTTCAGTTCATTTTTGACCTCCACTGCTTTAAGAAGTCATTGCAGCCAACATTTTAAAATATACTTTTGTTTTTTAATCTTACTTTTTACATTTTGCATATTCACATCAACCGTTAACTGAACTTTAGTCCGTGTTTTCAGACATTCGAGGGTTAGTAAACGCGAAAAGAATCGAATGGTATGTTGCTCACATCATGCTATTTGTTTTAGTGCTCACACAATTCTATTCGTAACACGCTGCTTAACATGTTTCCTAATTCAATCTTGAACTCTTTCCCTTACAATCATGGTAAAGCAATACACTTTCCAATCATTTCTAAAACAGACTGTGTATTACGTAAGAAAGAACGTGGTTAGCCTACTCCATGTAACCATGGCATCGAGAATTCGGTTTAATGCTGTTGCAAGGTAAATGGTAATCAAGCCTTTTTTAAAACCTAGGCAATATGACAAATAGTGGATGTGCCATTTGATTTCTTGACATCCAAAAACACCCACCTGTAAAGGATATGAAATGAGGTTAACATCCTACTCTCCTGTACCGGGTTAGTGGGGTTGGATGGCCGAATGGTTAAAACCTGCGCGCTGTACCATATGGTCTGTCAATGAGTCAACTGGCGTGGTTTCGATTCCCCGGTTGTACATGACAAGGAGTAGGGTCGCCTATCCAACCTCGTGGGTTGTCTCAGAGACCTCCGACTGCTAAAGACCACTACGCGCAAGCGAATTATTGAAATATAATTGAACCGTGTGTTAGTCCCGAAATGACCTAGTTTGTGTCTAATGGACATTAAACCCCATCTCTCTCTCTTCTCTGTCTGCACCGGGTTAATAAAGGCGGACTTGCGCCATATAGTAAGCTATAACGGAAATGTTTCCCGGACACTGGCGCTACGGTCTTTATTTCAAATTCCAACCTGTAACGTGCATCTTGCTTTGTATTCAATATAGACATCTGAACAGCGCGTGTTTCCTAATCTAGTCCTATTGCTGACCATTTCTATAAGGTTGTATTCCTATGATTGATGGTAGTAACGTTTGAAACGGGAAATTAATAGTCTACGAGTGTAAAAATAGCTACACAATGCTACATTTATCGGTAATAAATGACACATTTATGAGATGACAAGTGTCGGTGCTGACTTAATTGATTGTATTATTGGAGGTAAGAGAAGCTACTAGAATGATAACCATCTCTGTCCGATCACAATTTCCCTAATAGCACACTGTATGGAGTAGAAATGAAATGAAATGGGGTTTAACGTCCTACTGTTCTGCTCCTATACTGGGCTGCTCCTATACTGGGCTAATGAAGACGGGAAAACGCCATACAGTGTGCTATGAGGGAAATTTTGCCCGGGCAGCGGCACTATCGCCTACTCTTATATCGAATTCCAACTGCCAAGGGATCTTTTACGTGCATTCCAATGTTTACACAGGACCTCGGTTTTTCGTCTCAAGGGCAATTGATGGGCGTCGTTTTCATCCCCATCGCATTTAATAATATTTACGTATTTAGAACCCCTACACGCAATTTAATTATTGAAATAAATTTAAACCATATGTTAGTCCCTAAATGACTACCGCCCTCTCTCTCTCTCTGGGGGGTTGGGTGGTCGAGTGGTTAGCACGTGCGCGCTGTATCATAAGACCTGTCATTGAGTCAACTGGCGTGGTTTCGAATCCCCGGTTGTACGTGACAAGGAGTAGGGTCGCCTGTCCAACCTCGTGGGTTTTCTCCGGGTCCTCCGGTTTCCTCCCACTGCTAAAGACCACTACGCACAAGCGAATTATTGAAATAAAATTAAACCATATGTTAGTCCCGAAATGACCTAGTTTGTGTCGAGTGGACGTTAAACCCCATTTCTCGCTCTCTCTCTCTCATACCAGAGATCGAAACCGCCCTTGTTTTTGGGTGATAGTTTTCGACATATAGTTATTTTAGTAGGCACCCCATCAACATTCATTGTCGCCCGTTAGTTATTGACATTACTTTGATGTCAATGGAACTCTGTAAGCAGATTTATTCCAGAGCAATTCTTTTAAAAATTTTATTAAATGGGTGACCACCCTTATAAACAGCTCCCCGGCCATCTAAATCCAAGACAATACGATATTTACCATCTAAAATGTTCATTGCGCATCCACGAAATTCTATAATCATCACCTAGACATCTACGTAACGTTTGTGCAACTACTGTCATCGACGATAATAGTAAACGGTCAAAAAAACACACAATTTCTGATTTAAGTCAAGGGGCCATAACTCCAGTAAACTTAACTCGAACAATAATAATATAATCCTTTCAAGGGTTTGGCCCTATATTTGGGCCAATTTGTATTTGATATACATAAAATGTTCACCATATATTTTTAGCTAATGAAACATTTTATTTAAATTAAGACTCAAATCAAGATGAAGAATACATCAATACGACCATATTGATATACAAATTCATGACCCCCGAACGCTTCACAACAGATCTAAAATCTCGTTCCGTCATTTTAGCGCAATAAGAATCCCTTGCACACTACAATAGGAATATCAGTCCATAAATGGTTCAAATTACAAACACATATTGAATTACAATGTCATCGAACTATGCTGCTCACTATGCTGTTATATAATCAATATGAGTACATATTAACGAGTATAAAGCCGTAAGAAATCTGATATTTTAGCAAAAAATGCAAATGACGAATCTTTATTTTAAATAAATCGGTTAAAACTGTAACCTCTATCTTCTTCACAAGGTATTTGGAAAAGGTGACATAACTCTAGAACGGAGATAGTGTTCGTCCCCTTTATGACCTAAGTGCTTCACAACTAATTTGAAAACAAAGTCCCGTTAAAAACTGCATATTATAGCTTCTAACAAGGGTTTTTTAAAAGGGGTATGACGCCGAATATCTACTAGGTTGTATTTTCACAAGATTAAGATGAATAACAAAAAAATCCAGAGACCACGCCCCTTTACCGGTGAATTTTTTTTATAAAGTTCCAACAGCCCTGAGGTAATTTCATAAAATTATGTCGGTTGGTTTTGAATTACAATGGTTGTTCGACCACCATTTATTATAGTCTTTGTAAACGTTTCGATGAATCTTTTTATCGTGTAACATTTTACACATATCACACAGTCCTTTTTTAATTGATAGACTAAAATCTACAGATCTATAATTTTCTTTGGACTTTAAATACTTAAGATAAGCATTATTGTCCTTGTCCAATTTTAAAAGAAATTTTCCCAATTCGTGGGCATTTTTAAAATTTTTCGAGTCAATGAACGATTCTTGTGGGTAAAACTGTGTATAATCACCACCTCCTCTTGTTATGACTACAACGTCTAAATTTTGCCTGTCAAAAAACTTTTCAGTGATATAGTCTTTGCACAGCGAATTTTCAAATGAGAGGTAAAATTTGTAGGTCTTATTTATCATCCCGAAAAGATCTTTCGGGGTGGGCGAACCACACCTTCCAAACACATCCACTGGAACTATTTCTTTCAATTGTTCTACGTATTTCATACGTTGCGAATTTGTCTGGCAGTTACTAACGACCCAAGCGACCAATTTCTTCTTATTGGTCATAATTTCCCCATAATTTTTATTCGCTTTATTCTCAATTTTTTTCACAATTGTGTAACTGTAAGGCACGGGAATATCGGAATCCAGACGATATGTCATTGTCCAGTTGATCTGTTCCCTCCATTCTGGGTTTGACAATACCTGACTTCTAGTGTGATGCGGAGATTCCCATCCAGAAACTACCCAAATTTGATCGGATTTAACGCGCATTGGTGGTGATTTCAATGGCAAATCCACCCCATAAAACACTACAGCGTCACTGTTGTTGAAGTGATCCCATCCATTGTTTATACGGCAAGTTTTGATTTCACAGTTTAAAAATACAGTTTCTGGTGACAAAGAATTCCAATACCAACTAGCAGTATTAATAAAAGTGATTTCCTTGTAAGTTACTGTAATTGAATTGTTTTTTTCATTCGGCTTTATGGTGGTTGCTTTTCTTATTGTTGGTTCTACTGTTGTCGTGGGGATGGTGCTTACTTTTCTTGTTCCTGGTTCTACTGTTGTTGTGGCATGTCGTGACTTTGTCGTGGTGACGGTGGTTACTTTTCTTGTTGGTTCTACTGTTGTTGGTTCTACTTTTGTTGTGGCATGTCGTACCTTTGTCGTGGTGACGGTGGTTGCCTTTCTTGTTGGTTCTACTGTTGTTGTGGCATGTCGTGCCTTTGTTATCATCCTTTCTGTGTCTTTTGTATTCAACGTCATTGAAGTCTCCTTGGGCACAGACGTATCTGTATCTCCATTGATGTATCTATTTACATCTTTGAAATGAAGCCGAAGGACCAGTGGTTGGTGAATTACTGTCATAAACGCAATTAGACCTACTGTCATAATCAATAAAAGCAGGAATCTGTTCAAATAGGACTTCATAACTGAAAAATTGGAAAGTAAAATTAGACCAATGAAAAGTAAAGGATAAAATTAACAAAATAAGCTTTAAAAGGACAAAAAGGAGAGCATACAGTAGAATCTTTTCGAGCAGTCACTCGTTCCCAGCGACATCGCCTTGTAATCATAAATACGACCCCCCCCCCCCAGCCACACACACACACACACACACCTACATATGCTTGGTTTTATCTTTTAATAAACGGTCACTCTTCTTGCGTGGCCAGCCGGCACCATTTTAGGTGTAAACATATTTTAAAACACTGACCATGGCCGATGCCATCCTATTGTACCCTAATATGTTTATTACCAGGTAATTATCTAGCCCCCACCACACACACAGTTCAGTGAACAAAATGGCAAGCCCTGATATCATTGTTTTCACAAGTATAAACCATTACACGTTACCGCCGATGGTGCTCGTTCTAACCACGATTCTCAATAGTGTAATTTTGATATTTTCCGAGATAGTTATTACATTTTTATAAACTAATGTCCTCGGGCTATGGGCATTATTAACGGACAGCGGTCAAGACATTGTCAGTGGTGCAGGATATACGGCATTTCAAGGAACAACATCCTGTCGTTCGTATGGGACGTAAAACTTACGCCACGTGTACACGTTACGTAACATAGGCGTTAACAGTCTGGGTTCGAAATAAGGTATGTCGTATCGTTCCTCGCACAAAAGAAAATGGGGTTTAACTTCCTACCCCGACCGGGGGAACGAAGACGGGCATACGCCATACTATAAGGGAAATATCGCCCGGGCAGCGGTGCTACGGCATACTTTTATATCGAATTCCAGCTGCCAAGAGATCATTTACGAGCACGCCCATGTGTACACGGGACATCGAGTTTTCATTCTATCCGAACGGCTATAAGTTGTTCCTTGCCAGCCCCTATATTATGCACACTTGACAAGGGGAAACCTAGGCTGCAGTATTTGTAGCGTTAGTACTTGTCTTAACCACCATTACAACTGATACCCTCCACGAGCCTTTGCGCAAGTAAAAATAGATTCAATAGCAAAAAGTTCAACACAGTTTACATGGAAAAAAGTTATGTTACAAATAGTGAAGACTCCAACACTGAAATCTTAATCTTATATTTCCGAACAGTTTTTCTATATTTTCGCAGTGAGGTGAAACCACGTGATGATCTAATTCTGGTGCGGAAGCCATTTTAAAAACGACAGAAATAAAGCGTAGTCGTTGGATTTTTTTTTTTAATTTATGACTTTATGTGGCAAGTTTCACCTCTAATTCAATGGGAATTGGTTTATATGTTAAGCTATATGTAGCACAATTTGTGATCAATTTAATTGGAAATAAGGGGAGTTGCCAGTAACCTTTTGTAGTCTAGAACGGTCCAATATTACTGTGGCTGAAGCAGGGCGGAAGATATCAGTAGTGGAACCATTTCTAGGGGAAATCATGCCGGAAAAAATCTATATGAACTTTCTCGGCAGGAATCGAACACTGGACCTCCAGGTTGGCAAGCCAGCGTCTTACTCACTGAGCTACGATGGCTCCCTTTCAAGGCACGTGGTAAACAAATTTTTGTCAACAACGGACTCGAACCTGGAATTGGGTAATTTCTTAATGAGCTACCGTGGCTGCCAGATGTTTGTGTATACTAATTACCTTGAACATGGATACTAATTATTTATATAATAAAATGGTAATATTTTGGTAAAATCACATCTTTACGTTATTGCAGTTTTTATAATCACAGGTGGATTGGGCCATCCCCCGAATTGAGCAAATAATAGATATATTGATGGACTAAGTCCGAGGAGAAAACGATGTATGAATGGTGTGAGAAAAAGAAAAATTAAGCTTGTTTCGTTTTCTCATTATGTCACGTATTCTTCACGGAGATGGGTGCCCAGACTTAGAAACCAGATGGCCCGATGACGCAGGGCTACCCAATCTGCCCTGTGTATAATACATTTTTATTAAAAACAGAGTGCTATTCATAAGTTTGACAATTTGAAAACAAAGATGAAAAATAAGATGTTTGTAAATCTGGGCGCGCATCAAAATGACTCATGTTTTTGCCATTAGGCCGTTTTTGTAAAACGAACCCACCATAGGTCTAATGAGAATAATACTTGTACAATGAACAGATTATTTTTATGTAACAGTTAAAATATACTGTAAATATAAATGGGACATCATATGTCAATAATGAATATCTTACATCTTAATATAGAAATGCAATAATTTTGAATCACTGATCGATGATGTGCGATAATTAATATTACTAGAGATGAATGTCAACTATCTTTAATACATCGTGCAACAACGGCATAATTATTGTCGCTAATTACGATACAACTATTGTATCAAATTAATATACTGGCACTACTGCTATTCATGAGTACCTAGATTATCAATTACTTTTCAAGAGAGAGAGAGAAATGGGGTTTCACGTCCACTCGACACAAACTAGGTCATTTTGGGACTAACATATGATTTAATTTTATTTCAATAATTCGCTTGCGCGTAGGGGTCTTTAGCAGTGGGAGGAAACCGGAGGACCCGGAGAAAACCCACGAGGTTGGACAGGCGACCCTACTCCTTGTCACGTACAACCGGGGAATCGAAACCCCATCAGTTGACTCAATGACAGACCGTATGATACAGCGCACGCGTGCTAACCATTCGGCCAATCCACCCCCCCCCCCCCAATTACTTTTCAAAATCAAAATATATTTGAAATGACTGAAACATTAAATAGGCATAACATAAATTAGATTAAATCAGGGTATGAAATATATTAAATATAGAATGACTTACCTATTAAGTAATAAGGATGTTAACACAAACTGTCTTAACTATCTGAAGAGATTTTGGTTATATCGCCTCATTCCCTGTAGGACGTAACGTCTGCCCCAACTGAGTTTATATCTTAAATTTTGGTTACCATAGATTTGATGAACATGCTCACTAAAACATTTAATCGTGTCAAACGGACACCACTAAAACCCACACAAAGACAAGACGCGGATTAACAGCCGCGGGTTAAATGAATCAGAGGGATTATCAATTTGAAAGCAAGCCGAATTGTTAATTGTAATTGCAGGTGAAATTAATTAATCAATTGTTGGTTAATGTAGGACGCCAACATCAAAAATATAAATGCTTGTTACAAGAATTAAACTCACAAAACGACATGATAACAGCCGCAGTTTAAACGGGTCAGAGGTGTTATCAGTTTGAAAGCAAGCTGATGACATAATAGTAATTAAAGGAGAACATAAGTAATTAGTAATTGGAGAAAAACTCAATTAATTGTTAATGAAGTAAGGCTAAATAAAAGATATAAATATCTGTTACAGCTTCAGGAATTAAAAGCTTTCACCGCTGACAATTAGTTCAATTGTTGGAGCTTCACGATATCTCCGAAAGTGTCATTTGTTATAATATCAATGGGGAAATTAATATATATTGTAAATTGAATTAAAATGTGGATTCATAAAATCTTTCATACCGAATTAAAATGTTTCTAAAAGACAATACAAATAATAATTTTGCAGACATACACAAAATAATCCTCAAAATAAGTCAACAGTGAGGCTGATGTCCCCCGCTGAAATCCCAAAATAAATAGCATCCCAAACTTAGGCTGCCTGTCTACAGCTAGCTCCGCCCGAGAACAGGCCCTAAGCTGATTAACCGACATTTTAATTCATGCATCGACGATTTTAGTCGAAAACACTGAGTATGCTTTTAGAAATATTTTAGAAGTATTTATTTCTCTTCTATTGTCATATTGAATGAAATTAAATATGTTTATTTAGCCGTTGTGTGTATGAAAGATGTCAAACTAATCAAAGTCGAATCACAAAATAGTCCTCTAAGGCGTTTTTTTTTTGCGAAGACAAATTTAGGAGTATCTAACCTTGTTTTGAAAGATAAACAGATTAAAACTCTAAAGACAGTTTATCATGGAAAATACTATTGCAATATTACTCACTAGCACATATATATCGCTTTTACCGGAGTGGCAGAAGTGTTTACATAATTGCCAACTTGACACGTGTTTACATAAAACACGAGCTTCGGGTTATTTTTACCCTGTTGTGTATAAAAAGCAGTAGTCTAGTCGATATGTCCCGCCCCAAAATGATCACGTGAGCGTTTAAAAAAGAATAGACGGCATTTTGGGGAGTGATATATTCTCGAAATATGACGTAGATGGATCGTTGCGTGCAGTATGAATAAATAGATGACACCTATTAATTAATCGCACATTTATTATTTCCAAAGGTATCAAGCAATCAAACTGATTATCAACTATACACTAAGTTTCAGCACTCTCTATCAGATAGAATCAAAGTTATCTTGTCCCAAAGCATCGACCAATGAAATTGCTTAGCTCAGTTTAGCTTTAGCTGGAAATATTAATCATTGAACTCAGTTAAGACATTCTACCTCAATTAAAAGCATAGTTGTTACGTTCCAAAGTCTTGACCAATCAAATTGCTTATTGTTCCTTAGCCTCAGCAGAAAATTCTCATCATCGAACTTAGTCAAGGTAATGATATAATGAATCTATACTCTGAGTTTCATCACTCTCACTTAATTATAACCAAAGTTATCGTGCCCAAAGCACCAAACAATCATATTGCTTAGCTCTGCTTACAGTAAGCAGACAATGTTTATTAATGATCTTCATCAAGGCATACACCTAATGAATGCCTACACCAAGTTTGAACATTCAACCTCAATTAGAAAGAGAGTTATTGTGTTACAAATTCTCGGTCGATCAAATTGCTTATCGCTCTGCTTATCCTGGGGCTTGTTTCACGAAATTTTAACTAAGATAAAATCCCAATTTTAGTAATTTGATTGGATATTAGATTGATTTTAGTGCTTAGCCAATCAAAACTGAAGTAACTACTAAAATTTGGATTTTATCTTTAGTTAAGATTTCGAGAAAGTGGGCCCTGGACAGAAAATGCTCATTATCGAACTTAGTCAAGGTATTGATGAACATCTATATCAAGTTTAAACATTCTACCTCAATTAAAAGCAAAGTTTTTACGTTCCAAAGTCTTGACCAATCAAATTGCTTATCGTTACTTAGGCTAAGCAGAAAATTCTCATCATCGAACTTAGTCAAGGTAATGATATAATGTATCTATACTCGGGAGTTTCATCACTCTCACTTAATTAGAACTAAAGTTATCGTGTCACCAAGCATCAACCAATCAAATGGCTTATCTCCGCTTACCCTAAGCAGAAAATTCTCATCTTCGAACTCCATCAAGGCATTGACCTAAAACACCTACGCCAAGTGTGAACAAGCCAACCGTGAGGCTGATGTCCATCAAGGCATTGACTTAATAAACACCTACACCAAGTCTGAACATTCTAGCTCAATTAGAAAGAGTTATTGTGTTCAAAAGTCTCAGCCAATCAAATTGCTTATCGCTCTGCTTACCCTAAGCAGAAAATACTCATCAAACTTAGCCAAGGTATTGATGTAATGAAACTATACACCAAGTTTCATCACTCTCGCTTAATTACAACTAAAGTTATCGTGTCCTAAAGCAATAATCTAATTGCTTATCTCACTTACCCTAAGAAAAAAATGTTCATCTTCGAACTCAAAGGCATTGACATGATAAACACATACACCAAGTTTGAACATTCTAGATCAGTTAGGAGAGTTATTGTGTGACGGACAGACAGACGGACGAACGAACCCATTTTAATAGCCCCCTGCTTTCTGCGAAAGGCGGGGGACAACAATCTAGCTCAATGAGAATGAGAGTTATTGTCTTCCAAAGTCTCGACCAATCAAATTGCTTATTGCTCTGCTTACCCTGAGCAGAAAATGCTCATTATCGAACTTAGTCCAGGTATTGATGTAATAAAACTACACCAAATATCATCACTCTCACTTAAAGATACGTTATGGGAGATTAGATAACGAGTTGGCAGTTTTCACTATAATAGTTAAAAACTAGATAATGCAATTTGCTGAAAATTTAATTCAAATTGATCCACTATGAACCAAGAATTTAAGCGATTGAAATTTCCGCCTAGCCTCGATCATCATTACTAAAGTCGGTACGACAAAAATCATAGTATCGATTATCCATATAATTATTAAATCATGAAGAAAAGTTATGCAGTAAATCGGATCATAATCCACTACAGATCGCAGGCTAGCGATGCCATCGAGAGTTGCTTATGGTCTGGATAAGTTAATTAATGTCCAATTAATAATTTAGATAACATTTCAGTCCTAAAGAAAGAACTGGAATAAGCAGATTAGCTCTTGCATAATGTATGTTTAATTAGAACTAAAGTTATATCCCAAAACGTCAAGCAATGAAATTGCTTATCCCTGTTTACCATAAGCAGAAAATGCCCGTCTTTGAACTCCATCAAGGCATTGACCTAATAAACACCTACACCAAGTTTGAACGTTCTAGCTCAATCAGAAGGAGAGTTATCGTGTTCCAAAGTTTCGGCCAATCAAATGGCGTATCGCTCTGCTTACCCTGAGCAGAATATGTTCATTATCGAACTTAGTCAAGGTTTCACCACTCTCACCTAATTAGAACTAAAGTTGTTGTGTCCCAAAGCATCAACCAGTCAAATTGCTTATCTCTGCTTACCCTAAGCTGAAAATGTCAATCTTCGAACTCCATCAAGGCATTGACCTAATAAACACCTGCATCAAGTTTGGACATTCTAGCTCAATTAGGACATTAGGTGAGTTATTGTGTCCCTAAAAGTGTGACAGGCGAACCCATTTTAATAGTCCCCTGCTTTCTTCGAAAGGCGGGGGATAATAAACTGAAAAGGACATGGTTTTATTATTTTTCGGGCGTTTTCCGAACTTCTATCTGAATAATCGCCCTTATTATTGTTAATATTATTGACGTTCCCAGACATGTGACATGAATAGGGACCTTTCGCATAGGTAGGAAAACGTCACCGGTTCGTGTGTACTTGTGACGTCAATCCGTAATGAGTGTTCGGCCGGTAAAAAATGTTACGCGTATTCAGAGCTGGATTTACGTAGGGGTGTTTCTTGTCTCACATATTGAAATTTCCACAATTTTTCGATTGCGTGGAGTTCGTAGAATGTGCTCAAAAGCAATATTCTGCTTGATTTGTTGTACATCTGCCAAAAAATCGATTGAAAACTTTGCCTTGACCGAGAAGTGCATAGAGTGGAAATTAACGCCATCTAGTTATTATCGTACGTCGGATTGCGAAACCGCGTGTTAGAGGATACGAAATCGAACGAACCGATGCGAAAGGTCCCTAATATCGCTATTCAGGTTACGACGACCGTCATTGGCGTCAAGACCGGCCGCGTTACTTGTAAATTTACGTCTTCTAGTAAATCATTCAGAGTTTTATTTCTCATTTTGAGTGAAGCCTCTATAATTACATATGCGATACTGGGCAGCGCACGGGACGATTACGACTGGCCATAGGATCCACTCACTTGATTTGATATATTTGTCGCCCGCCTTGCGAAGAAAGCAGGGGACGAATAAACGGGTCTGTCAGTCGCACTTTTTAGGACACAATAACTATCTTTCTAATTGACCTAGAATGTTCCAATTTGGCGTGTGTTTATATAATTATTAGAATGCCTTGATGGAGTTCGAAGATAAGTATTGTATGCTTATGGTAAGCAGATATTAAGCAATTTATGGTTGGTTGATGCTTTAGGACACAATAACTTTGGTTCTAATTAAGACTAAGAGAGAAGTCACTCTATGATGTTTTCTATTCACAGGCATTACGGACCCTGATTGTACGAAAAATCGCGTTTTATAGCTTGTGGTCCCTTTAGAAGTCGGCCATTTTTATTCGATTTAAAAAAAACCAAGCCAACAGTGAGGCTGATGTCCCCCGCCGAAATCCCCAAATAAATAGATGACACATATTAATTAATCGCACATCTATTTTTTTTTTTCAAAAGTATCGAGCAATCAAACTGATTATCAACTATGTACCAGGGTTTATCACTCTCTATCAGATAGAATCACAGTTATCTTGTTCCAAAGCATCGACCAAGGAAATTGCTTAGCTTTAGCTCGATATGTTAATCATTGAACTCAGTCAAGACGAACATCTACATCCAAGTTTAAAAAATTCTACCTCAATTAGAAGTAGAGTTGTTAATGTCCCAAAGTCTT